GTATGGTATGTTTGATACAGTAAATCTCGTTTAGTACGAACACGAATATTGTGAATTCACGGGTATAGCAAAGTCATCTTGGATTCCCAGCTATAAAATTTCAATGAATTTCTTATACGATTCAGGGATTTTCCACTCACTTTTGGGAATGGGGCCCAGGCCCTTGGAATTGGGAATTTTACGACATTTTATCACTTATTGGGAAATATCGTATGATGTTTTTCAAGAAATAAATGCTTAGATGAATAAAAATTGATCTTTCACTTAGCTATTCAGAACTATGAATTGGAGAATGATCATTATAATAAAGTTTTACACAAGATTCTTCAAAATTTTGTTCATTTCATTCAAATTTCCAAACCTAAACATGTTTGTATTTTGTGAATTATGTTAAGGTTACCTTCTTGAGTTCTTCTTCTTTCAAAAATTGAATATAGGCAGTTCATTTTTGAGAAAAAAGGAGGAGTTTTGCAATTGGGAATGGGGTCCATATTCGGCCCTACACGGGGTAGTGGAAAATCCCTGCGATTATAATGAATTATGAATATAGCGAAGCAATTTCATAGGTAGCAGCAACTTCGTTATATCCGAGTTTTGCTGTAACACCATCTTGAATGGTATGTTTAAAACTGAGCTAAACACTAATTTAAGAAAAGTGAGGTCAAGGTCAAAGGAAAGGTAAAGGACAAAAAATGTTGATGCAGTTGCATAGCTCTTATCAATATCTATCAGCAAAGTTTGATGAAATATCCTGTATAGTTTCTTTGAAACTGGGCTTTGAACTTAGCTAAACGTAAAGTGTGACGCATGGACAGAAAGATTGAAGACAGACATGACAAACACTATATGCCCAGGCCATAATCATGGTGGGGCATAAAAAAACTACCGGTACCTACCTACCAACCTTGATAAAAGTAGGTAGGAGTACATCAAACAAAAATATTTTTAAAGCTGGCCAGTTGTTGACTAGTATATATTAGTCATTTTGATATGCTATGTCTTATAAAAAATAAATTTTATATTTGTCTTAGAACTTATTTTGTTGCATCAATTTCATACCTGTATTTGATTTGCATTGTTTTGGATGCTGATAATTCAAAGTCAGTTTAGTCTTAGGTGCTGCTGACTTTGGATCTCTTAGGAACTGCATCTTTTATCTGTGTTACTGGTTCTCTTGTACCTCTGCTATAAAATAAGTTTTAGTGTATACAGTTGTGTAATATCAGTGAATAAATTGAACAGACAGATTGATTGTATATTGTCTATCGTTCCTCTCAAGAATTTTTCACTCATATGGAAACGACAGTGGAGAGCTGCAAATTTTGTCCTAATGACCTAATACTCAGCACTCAGGGCCATTGACTGATTGAGCAGGAAGGGATCTTTTTTTTTGCCAACACCTGACCTACTGCAGCAAGGGGCCACAGTTATACTGTATCATCCCAAGGACAGGTCTCCACATCCCACAGTGGGATTCAAACTCATGATGTAAGGATCAACACCCGGTACTACGAATCACCGGAATGCCCTGTAATCACCGAAATGCCCCAAGAAATCACTGAAATGCCACCGAAAAGCCCCTTATATTGTCAAGAATAAACAAAAAAATAATAAATATTGATGAAATTAACTGTTCTAAAGTAAAAATTTCATAATTTTAGCGTAAGTATTTTTATTTGAAGATATGTGCCTGTAAGTATAAGAAAGATAACTCTCACTAATTAAAGACACGTGCCAAAATAGTTTTATTTATTTCAATTTTCCCTCTTTTTCGTTTAAATATATTCCTAACAATAAGTTATTCTTCATAAAAAAAAATTGTTTGTAATATTGTTTACGTGTTTTCTTGATTGGACATATGTGTAATTTTAATAGAAAATCCTATATTAACAATGTATATATTAAGTTACATTTATAATCAAATAGAAAAATTTTACGTTTAAAATATGTAAACAAAAATATATGCCATATATGACTTTAATCAAAATTTATTTTTTATTCACTGAACTATGAGATTATAAGCTTGGTATAATCACGGACCTATATATGTCCTTGGTACATTGTGTAATTTACAAGGATCGATGGAAATGGTTGATAGTGTATGATAAACCATGTTATGCTTTAATGATAAAAAGAAAAATTAATTTGTATGAAAAACATCATGTAAAAACATATGTGTGGGCATTTCGGTGATTTTGTTATGCATTTCGGTGATTTGTAAGGGCATTTCGGTGATTACAGGGCATTCCGGTGATTCGTGTTACCCATCAACACCTTATTTCGCGACTCTACTAGAGAAGACACTCTAACCACTGTGCCATGCAGGCAAATTTGAACAGACAGAAAAATTTACCAAAATCCATAAACCATGTTCTATAAACAGGAAACATACTCTCTAAAGTGAGAAATATGGTCATCTAAATTTTATTTTATGCAGAGAGATGCATGGCAAAATATATGAACATCTTATCCTTGTGAAATAGATCTAAATTGCTACAAACATTTAATGCTCAAAAAATAATCCACTGATACAAATCAGGTTAAAATTTACTGAAAAAAAAGTATATTAAAAAATTACCCTAACAAAAATGATGCAGCCACAATATCATAATTTATGATGAATATGACGTTGGTACCCATCAATGACAAAACTCCTCCTCTATAATCAGCTGATAAATAACATCTCGGATTCAAGAGAAATCTGTTAAAAAATTAAGGTAAAAGATAATTTCGAAACTATTTCATTCGGTTAAGAATAAAACACTTCATTTTCCCTCAAAATAAACAAGAAACGGATGACACTCTCTGATTTGTTTACCTGTATTTCGATCGAAGTATTCCTGGTGGACGCTCGCACCCAATTTCTTATGACATGAAATTCATACATCGTTAGTCGGACAACCCTTCGGCTTTGTTAAACTATTTAATTTCCCCCTGAAAGCTGTGTGTAACCCAGAAACATGCTGAACTCAATAGTACACATTCACCGTGACCATGTGCGAGGAAGTGAATATTATCGTAAAATCTCGCGAGTCACGTGACGAGACTTACAGACTCTGGACCGAATTTTCTCAGCTTTTGAAATAATGAATAAAAAGTTTACTTCCGGTAAAGGGAGAAGTCATTTCAAATGGAATTTAAATAAACATAATGAAGAGAGATATCTCTTTGCAATAAAGAGATATCTCTTTTTGCTTCAGAGATATCTCTTTTAGACCCTTTTGAAAGATATCTGTTTCACTTTGAGAGATATCTCTTAAGATAAATTTAGAGAGATATCTCTTTTACTTAAAGAGATATCTCTTTAACTTGGAAAGATATCTCTCTAAGTGAGAGAGATATCTCTCTAAGTGAAAGAGATATCTCTGTAGTTGAAAGAGATATCTCTCTAACGATCAGAGATATCTCTTTAACGTTCAGAGATATCTCTTATCACGAAAGAGATATCTCTCAAGGAGAAAGAGATATCTCTCAAAGAAAAAGAGATATCTCTCTAAGTATAAGAGATATCTCTCTAACTTTAAGAGATATCTCTTTCTTATAGAGATATCTCTTAAGAATAAGAGATATCTCTTTAAGTTGAGAGATATCTCTTATTTTTAAGAGATATCTCTCTAAAATGAGAGATATCTCTGTAATTTTCAGATGAAATTTATTTTCCGAATAAATAGTAAAAGGGCTTGCCATATACTAGCAATCTAAATAATGCTATTTTTAACCAAAAAAGTTGTCTGTGTCGATTACTCATCTTCACCGATATGTATTTATACCGCGATAAGGCAATCTTAGAGGTATTTTTCATCTAAAAAAAATAAACTTTATAATTAAGACCTAGATCAATCTAGATGGTAAACGTTTTTGGAATTTCACGATTTGGTGACTTTTTTTACAATAACTTTCATACACGTGACTGAAAAAGAAATCTCTAGGGCAGAAATACAAATAATGTGGAAAAAATGTGATAATTTTGCGCTATTTCAACAAATTCCCATAGGGTCTAATAGTAAAATTTGACAATTTTTGAGATGGCCCCCTAAGAAATCGGGGTGGTAAACATTAGATTTTTTAATCTTAAAATCATGAATATAACAGTAAAAATCCCTAGGGTAGAAATAATTAGACTCGGCCTCGTTAATATGAACAATTCCTTAATATGTTTTTGTGAAAAGTTATTGACAAACGAGTTTTATGAAACAAGAATACCAGCAATCTCGTTTAAAGTCCTTTGTTTTGAAGTTCTATGGTCAATGCAATGACCTTGTCAGCTAACACAATCTATCATTAAATGCTAAGTAAACATATTATCTGGTCATAATTTAAACACTGAAATGTTAAAAGACATTTTTTGCTGTTCATGACCAGGAGCACACGGCAAAAACATGATATGTAATACAGAATATTTTAGTTTGTATCTTATTCATTTATGATAATTCAGTATTATTTGGATATGAATAATAAACACCGTCAAAACACCCTCTTCTTATCAAAAAGTAAAGATCTTAAAGAAGCTACGTAAAGTAAATCGATGAACTTTATTAGGCTTTGCTTTTGATTTTAAAAGACAATCATTTCAATACGAAAGAGCTTCATTTCGGTAATGTATACAAATGTATAATTTAATGGGTGATTGTGAGACAACAATGTTACGCAGTTTTGGACAAGGAAGATCCTAAATGTCTCTTGGTCATCAAATATTAACATTTTTTAAGTAGATTTTCAATAGAAAGAATTGTTTAAAATGTTTTGAAAATTTTACGATGTACACGACAGGAGTTGAAAACACCATTCCCATAGTGATTTCTTTTTACCCTGTACGTCCAACTGTCTTTCTTTGAAAAAGAAAAGTGTTTGGAACTTTAAAGCCTTAAATTATTTGTATAACTATGCTGGTTTTTAAATTCAGTCTATAAATTATATCGAGAACAATATAATAAAGTCGTTTAAATGTCTTCCTGTAGTTACATGATCTGGCAAAGACAAGGAAGTAAATAAAGCCAATATCACTTATATTCCTCTTGTGTATGTTCTCAAAATGGTTTTCATAATGAAAATATTATTATTTTTTATTTTCGTAAATTTAATACTTTGCGAAACGTGTGATCCAAGTCATGGAAGTGAAGGAGTCTATGACTGTGTTCGTATACCTAAATATGATGGTTATCAATGGGCCGTCTGTCTGTCGACCGAATCCTTAAAGAAACACACGGCTGGACATATGGGCTGTCAGGGGTCTTCATTTTGTTGGTTACCGTGTACTCAGAGTGTATACCCCGAAATCAGGGAAGGACATATAGCAAAGGAGTGTGTGTGTGATCCGGCTGAAAACGAAAGAAGAAAGAGATCCCTGGCACTAGAAGGGCGTGAGGCACGAGTTTCAGTACCTCCTGCTTGCTACATACCAGCCCTTGACAATAATTGTCAGTGGTATTCCAATTGTTTGGAGGCTCACTCTTCTTGTGAACGAAGTGATTCTAACTACGCCATTTCATACGGAAAAGCTATTTGTTCTATTTTTTCTGACGAATATAATTCATTTTCGGATGATGGAAAAAGTTGGATAAGATCATCGCAGAAATGCATCGAGGATAGGATGCGATCAGTTTTAATGCCAAACAACACTGAAGAGTGCAGGAATATTCGAGAACGTGCATTCCGGGTGCATTCTGATTGTTACTTCCAAAACAACAATGCTAGGTTCTGTAACATCCTTGGTACTGACCAACAAAAGATTTACTGGAGCATTAAACAGGTTTATGAACATGCATTCAGTGAGAAATTCGATGAAGGAATGGCTAAATTTCGATCCTGTCTTCGAAATGATGTCTTTGGACACCAAAGAAAGTTCATGTTTTATGTTGAGAAAGATTTAGATGAAAACATCGACGAAAACGAATTTGCCTCAAGTTTAGTAAAAATGTTTGATTTTTCCTCACACGGTATTGACTGGGACGTAGATAAGGCAGCTTATTCTAGAAAGAGGAGAGAAGTTAACAAACGTAAAGGGTATCAGATCGTAGGAATATTTGTTAGTAGAAAACAGGTAGACTTTATTGAAAGATCCAGAAGAAGTACAAATCAACCTTTCCTACAAAAGACCCCGAATAATGAATATGACGAAAAATTCTTAGAATCCTTCAATAAATCGATAACAAATGGAATAGCAAATGATGCTCTGGAAGTTCTAAATATAGATGTATCTCGTCGGAAGAAAAGAGCAATAGGTCTTGTAGCAGTAACAGCACGTAGGTATTTTTAGAAAATCTAGTGGATAAATTTCAAAAGTATGGCAGAAAACAGACGGCTCATTGGATGAAAAATTACACTCAATTTAAAAAAAAACAAATGCTATAACTTTTTGTTTTCATTGCTCTATTCATTCTCATTTGTTTTTGAATGACACACTCACTGGTCTAGCAAATCTCGTACTGAAGTTACCAAGTACGTTTATAACAAAAAAAATCGTTCTTTTATTTGTTAGATATTTTCTCGCAACGGATTTGGTGGGAATATATATATTTAGTTACACGTCTTATTTTTGTAGAAGCTGTCATTTTGTGTAATTCATGCTTTGGATGTATTCGTTCTGTGCTGCTCATCCATACGTACAGACAAGGAGTCCTACCCGACACCCCCAACGACATAAACCCAAGATTTTATCTTCATTCCAAAAATAAAAATGATATACATCTCAAATTCTCAGATTTATCTAGTCTCAATGATTTCAATCAGACCAAAAAAACTTATATCATTGTTCATGGATTCTTAAATGATAAGGAAAAGCCTTGGATTTCTGATATGCGCCAAAATATTTTATCCAAGGTTTGTTGGTTGTGAAAGATTATTTAAAAGCACTAGGTTTGAGTCAAATATGTTGATATAATATGCATTTGCAATATCGAAATCGTTAATATAGATTTGTTTCTCACACAAAAAGTCACAATGTTGTGATAGGTTGACGCAAACGTGATAGTGGTGGATTGGGAAAAAGGTGCGGACCATCTTTTACATTACGAACAAGCTGCAGTCAACACTGAGGTGGTAGGAACCATTCTTGCTCTGCTTGTTAGAAGTTTAGAACATCACAAGGGGGCTAAGAAATCACATATCCACATCATTGGACACAGTCTTGGTGCCCATGTTGCAGGATTCGCGGGAAGTGCCCATAAAGATACAAGATATCAAAGAATCACAGGTACAACAATCAACCGAGAGAGAGAGAGCATTCTCAGTTAAACTTTACACGTCATGCCTTAGGAGGTCTTTGTACCTATGAGCAGAAATTCAAACGATATACTCATCTTTAGGTATGCCCCTCAGACACTGATGAAAACTGCTTTAGTGTGAGCACAAGATAATGAATTCTCTAAACTTTAATAGATATCTGAAAGAACGGTTGTCTAAATCGAGGGATTGAATTAATACTAGTAATCTGGAGGACCAGGTTATGCCTTGATTTTGATAAACTGTGGAAACGGTACGCGAATTTGAATTCTCTTTAGGACTTTCCTAATAACAAGAAAGAATCTTGTTATTTACAAGATATCTAGATGAAAAGACAACTTCTCCTTAGATAGAAATACGATATTAACATTTTATAGAACAGCTGTTCACAATTATAATGTACTGTTCCAATCGTTTCCTGTGTCAAAAATTGCAAAATACATAGAAAATGGCAGTGAATAAATTGATAGACACAAGGTTTTTCTTGATGTAAAGTAAATTTGAGGTACATATACGTGTAATGTAATACTGTAAACATAATTATGTATATAAATATACTTTGAAAAACATGAATATTATAGCATGTAATCTAAAGAAAAGCAGAGACGACAAACGCTTATCAGAGTATTTTCTTTTTAGGTATGGATCCTGCAGGACCATTCTTCGTCACAAAAGGGAAAGACGCGAGACTAGATAAAACTGATGCCCATTTTGTGGACGTTATTCACACAAATGGTGGCTATGGATTACCAAGTTAGTTTTCTCTACTCTATGTCCCGACGTATATATGACAGCGACAAAAAGTGTGTTTCATGTCCGTCTTTCCGTTCATACAATTGAGTTCGTCCGTACGTCTAACTTTATTTTCATGAACAATTCACCATTTTTCTGATCTTGACTTCACTATTCATAATGTTTAAAAGTTATAATCTTTCATTGTGTTCATGTTCTTCTTCATCCTATAACTGCAGTCCTGCTGGACACGTTATTACGGGTGACGTATAAGGCTACAAATGAGTACCTTAGATACCTTATTTTAAAAGGTCCTTAATATAGGAAATATAGGGAAATATAGGAATGCAACCCTTCAACTGGCGTCGGAATTTCATATAAACCATGGATTCTGTTGAAGTTTGCACCAGACGTTGGGCCAGATATGAAAAAAGACGTTGACACTTTGTCAGAATGGATTACATTTATCAGACCCATGTTAAAATCGCGTATTAAGAGATTAAGGGGCAATATGAAAACCATATATCCTTCTGTATTTAATAATCCCAGACGTGAAAAAAGAATTAAGCCAGTGTTTTTATGTACGACTTGTTTAATATGAGGAACTCTTTTGTTTTAGAAGATCGTTTTGTGTATGTTATTCGTTTTAGGTTTAGGAGGCAAAACTTGTGTTTTATAAAAACTCTCATCCTGTTAGTTTTACCTTTATTATTGGCGTGGTGGCAGCGACAAGGATTATACTCGAACCCAACATCCAAGGTAAAGGAATTACCGGCAAACGTCGCATAACAGGGACAGTTTTCACGTTAGCTGAAAACAATTTGTGAGTTTACACTTACAGTCAAACACATCATGGCCGGCAATCGCGCTCCAATCAAATGTCCTTGACGAAAAATGAAACAATTTGCACGAAGACCAACAATGTATGCCCATTATGCAAACAAGCAGGAAGTTCTCGCTTTGATCATTTTCTAAGCACCTGCAAATTCTTACCTCAAGATGACAAGACATTCATGAGTCGAGCCAGATACCTATGTGCTAGCAATAATTTCCCTGACGATGCTGATGAGGAGACTAGTACCAGTAACCCACTCCCTCTGACGATCAACTCTATGACCTGGAGGGAGTCCCTACTTCAAGACGAGTCAGCACAAAACAGTCTCCACAAATGAAATCTTACTACAATCAACATGTCATCCACATAACACTAGACAGTGGAGCAGGAATCAGTATGATTAGAGCGTGCGTTGCTGAGCTCCTAGGAGTTGAAGTCAAAAAGTCCACACAACATGCGTTACAGGCCGATGGCACCACTCCGCTAGAAATAGTAGGAGAAACACACTTTGATGTGACCCGAAAAAACATAACGCTACATGTGGAGGCCCTAGTAGTGAAAGATCTTGATGTGGACTTCCTAGTAGGAATCCTCTTTCTGTCTGCTAATGATATCAGTATCCGTCCAGCACGTCATGAAATTATGATTGGTGACCTTCATGTCATCCATTATCATACTCGGGAACGAAACCAACAGCACCACATTTGGCAAACTCATGCATATGTAATGAAGTCCCCATCTACAACAGTATGGCCTGGATCACACCTTGAGCTTGAACACAGCCCAGCCGAGGGTACAGTGGCTGTTGAACCTCGCATTGAATCTCGATGTGCACAACACATCTCAGCTACTGTAAATCACTTTTTATTAGCGAGAAATTTATTTTCGCGTAATTAAGCGAGATGGTATGCTCGCGAAAATTTCATTCTCGCGTATTATAGAATTCCTTAAGATTATATAGAGCAATGACCACAATTCGTGAAAATTTTGTCTCGCTAATAAAGAGTCAATGACTATCTCGCGAAAATAAGGTGTCGCGAAAATTAAGTGATTTACAGTATGTTAAGGACCTATATGGAAAATGTGACCTTTGCACCGTTTTAATATGTATTACTTCTTTTAGAAAATTGTAACAAAGCAACTGAATACTCGTAGAAAATGTAATATAGCTATCAATAATGGATAGGACTGGGCCGTAGTTATTACCAGTTATATAGCATGTATCAGCTGTTTGTCACGTGAGTTGTATAAAAATAGAATTGTTAAGCTGAATGTAGGAATGTGGGGATAGTGCAAGGGCATACGCTTGTTTTTTCAAGGAAAAAATTGATACACATTAAAAGAGGTTTATATCCTCTACCCAAAAAGTGCTGGGAGCTAGTCAGTGCTGTTTGCAAGTACTGAAAACTTTGCCAAAAATGCTTATAATAGCTAAAAATTTCCACTTCGCTTAAATTCTGTTATAAATAAAATTAATGTTAAGCAGACCAGGATCAGCGCCCAGCATTTTTCAAAATATACACTATATAAGCAATAAATATTCCAAATTTCAACTCAAACAAAATAGTCTATGCCCTTGCACTTTTGATGTAAATCACGAATACGCTCATCGTTTTAGCGATATTCTCTGCATTCCTTATCCCTGTGCAGCTTCAATACTACTAGATAAATTCATTTTCTATTCACAATGTATGAAATAAATTATTTTTTTTTAGTTTTAATGATTAGGTTTAAAAATTAGCAATGCTATCATATTTATTTAAGCATTCTTTTAATTATTAAACCAGTGAATCTAGTCCTCTGGATCATTTGTGCTGCGTCATGTCAAGGCTGATGACGTCATATTTGACGAAAGGCATTCTTCTTTTATTCGACTTTATCGCTATCAAGTATTTTACAAGATTTTACAAATAATCGATAAAATAGAATAGAATAGAATTTATTACCAATCAGGGCCCATTGGGCATAAACATATAACATATATAATTACATATAAACGTAATAAAGTACTAGACAGAATACAACAGATGGTGAAGAGCAATTCTTCTATTAAGTATATATTGATATATGTGTTGGTGGCATTTTAAAGTTTCATATATAGACATGCATGATGGGTTGTTGTACAAAAAATGTGCATAAGTATTATTTATGGTATATATATATATATATATATTTAAAGCACTAAAAAAAACCAACAACACTGTATATCCTAAATGTCGGATCTACCGAGTAGATACAAGGTCACGGATGGAAATTTATATAAAGCACTAGAAATGACCAACGACACGAACAATAAAAATTGTCAAATTTTCGGGACGACCTGTCCCTTCCTCAGGACAAAGAAAAAAGTTAAAAAGTCATAAGAACAAAGGAAAAAACGAGAAACAAACAAAAAACAACTAGCACTACTACTAAACTACTAAACACTATATATTTACAAACTTAGTTACATGTTGAATTGGAAATTTTTATATATATATATATATCAAAACACATAAAACTATGTTTGAAACATCAACAAGAGGCAGCAAGAGTCAGTGCTAAAGGATATACAGAATTCCACTTCTGCCTCATGTAGAATAAACAGACATAAAATTTATGGAGATAAATATATATTATATAAATAAATTTTACATTGTTACATGTGTTAATTAAATTGAACTACAATGGACAGCAAGAGTCAGTGCTGAAGGATAGTATATTGTTATTATACATGTATGAAAGTTATCCACTTCTGTTCAATGTAGAGTATATAATAGAACACACATATCAACAATATATTTACATAGTGTAGCATAAGTATTTAAGTAAGGTACATCAAATGATTTTAAATTTCTCTAACTATACATGACTTATGAATTCACACAATTTGAACAGCACATCAACATCTTCACAGTTCATTAACCATAAAAATTGGTTATTTTTTGACAAGCTATTAAAATGATGACACCTCATAGATATCGTGGATAGTAAATTTATTCTTAATTGACTGTGGCATGGACAATTTAAAAGAAAGTGTACTTCATCTTCTATCTCTTCTTATGTACAATTGGAGCATATTCTCTCTTCTCTTGGAATACCGTCTAACTTTTTCAATCATCAGATTGTAAGAAAATATTCGAAATTTTGTTAGAATCTTTTTTTTCTCAAACTTTCTTAAGATTAATAAATAAGGTTCTAGCCCAAAGTTCTGTTTAATTGTGCAATAGGTGTCCAATTTCCCATAATTACTTAAATCTTCCTTCTTTTGATACCATTTTTCAAGAAAATATGATTTTAGAATGCATTTACAATGATGTTTAAATGTTGATGTAGATGATATCAGATGAGTCGTTAACTGAGGAAGAAGTTGTTTAAACATATCAATAGAACCAAACCATGATAATTTGTTGTTATTGAAATTCGATACTGAGGTACTATATGCAGCTTTTAATAGAGGATATGTGTCATCCAAATTCTCTAACCTATGCCAGTATTTCAATATATTCTGAACAATACTGAAACTCATAGGGTGTGTACCTAGTATATAAATTCAAGTTGTTATTTACGCATGATCATGTCGTTAATAAATTTTTGTGACTTGTTAAATTTCAATGACGTCACAATTAAACTTCCAATACGATGTACAAGGAATGTGAACTCTGACCTTCCTTAACATAGCTGAGATGTGGCCTAGACCAGAAATTGTTGAGGTAGTAGCAGGAAAAATTCGCATAGTGAATAATACAGACGAATCCAAGCAACTGAAGAAAAATGAACATTTCTGTCAAGTTCTTCCTACTATACCGGCATCAAACAACACCAATGACACATTGCCCAGTTCCTTGCCAGCCTCAGAGACTTCACTACATGACACTGTCCTCCATTCGGGTACTGTCAATGTCAATCCTGACCATATCCTCACCCCCTGAGGCTTAACAATTATTTTGCAAAGTCCTCCAGGAACATGTTCGATCCCTAATTCAGTGGATACAATGGGAAAGCGAACAAATCTGACATGAAAATTAACATGGACCCAACGCAACCCCACAGAGGAAGGGCCGCCTTCCACAATATTCTAAGGGAAAGTTACAAATTCTGCAAAACAAGTGTAATGAACTGGAGGCCCTTGGAATCTTGAGAAGACCAGAAAAGTTAAACATTACTTTAGAATACCTTAACCCATCTTTCCTCGTTTCTAAGCCTAATGGAGGACACAGACTAGTAACCGCTTTCGAGGATGTTGGACGCTACTCGAAACCTCAACCATCCTTAATGCCCAATATCGACTCCACTTTGCGCACCATAAGTCAGTGGAAATATCTAATAGTAACAGACCTAACTAGCGCCTTTTATCACATTCCGCTAGCTAAAATCGATGCGCTACTGTGACATTGTCACCCCATATAAAGGCGTGCTTGTTTATACCAGATGTGCAATGGGGATGCCGGGATCAGAGACGGCTCTAGAGGAGCTTATGTGCAGAATCCTAGGCGATCACCTAGAAGCAGGATATGTGTCCAAATTAGCTGACGACCTGCATTGTGGCGGAAACACTCCTGAAGAACTTCTACCACACTGGGTCAGCATAATGACAGCTCTAGATACCTGCGGTCTGAAGTTATCAGCAACCAAAACAATAATCTGCCCACGTTCTACTATAATATTAAGATGGATCTGGACACAAGACCGCCTTTCAACGAGCCCTCATAAGGTCTCTGTTTTGTCTACATGTAAACTTCCGGACTCTGTCCACGGCCTTCGCTCATTTATTGGGGCCTACAAGATGTTATCCCGTCTCTTACCTAGTTGTGCACATGCCATCGCCCCACTGGAGACTGCTATCAGTGGTCTTCAGTCAAAAGACAAAATTAAGTGGTCTGAGGAATTGGTAGAACACTTCCACACAGCCCAGACAAAACTTAAAAATTCCAAAGAAATCTACCTTCCAACCAGAGATGACCATTTATGGATCATTAAAGATAGCTCTGTAAGAAAGCGCGGAATTGGAGCAACACTATACTTGATGCGCAAAGATAAAATTCAATTAGCTGGATTCTTCAGCACAAAGTTACAGAAGCACCAAGTGACGTGGCTCCCATGCGAAATCGAGGCTTTGTGCATATCTGCAGCCACAAAACATTTCAGCCCTTACATCATCCAGTCAGCCCACAAAACATGCGTCCTTACAGACAGCAAACCATGCGTACAGGCTATACAAAAGCTTTGCCGTGGTGAGTTCTCTTCAAGCCTTCGAGTGACGTCCTTCCTCTCTACAGCTAGCCGTTACCAGGTTGACCTACAACATCTTGCAGGTTCCGCAAATATTCCTTCTGACTTCGCCAGCAGAAATGCAGCAGAATGCGAAAATCCTGCATGCCAAATATGCAACTTCATTATACAAATGGAGGACTCGGTCGTGCGTGTTGCAAAAGCCAAAGACCAAAGTACCATTAGAATGGAAACCTTGCCCTTACCCTTTACAACTAGGTCAGCTTGGATCAATATCCAAGCCGAGTGCCCGGACTTAAGACGAACTCATGCACACTTAAAACATGGTACCAGACCCTCCAAAAAGCTCACAAATATCCGAGACGTCAAGCGATATCTGAACATAGCTACAATTGCAAGAAATGGCTTAATTGTGGCACGCAGGTCTGATCCACTACAGCCACCAACTGAGCTCATCATAGTCCCACGCAGTGTCCTTGACGGCCTTGTAACTGCCTTTCACATTCGTTTGGATCACTCTACAAAACGCCAAATGTTGTTGGTCATAAAGCGCAACTTCTATGCATTGGATTTGCCTCAAGCAGTCGACCGTGTGTGTGACTCTTGCCATAGCTGCGTTTCAATCAGAAAATTTTCAAATAGCTACATTTAACAGTCATCAGAACCCCCCCCCCCCCGATGTCATTGGGATTAACTTTGCTGCCGATGTCATAAAGCAGAACCACCAACTAATCTTGGTCTTGAGAGAAACGGTAACCGCCTACACAGCTGCTTGTCTAGTTGCCGATGAAAAAGCCCATACCTTAAGGGAAGCACTGCTCCTGCTGTGTATGGATCTCCACCCACTTGATGGGCCAAGAGCTATTAACCGTGTTGACCCTGCTCCAGGTTGTGTGGCCTTGCGCGAGGATGACCTCTTAGATCACTATCACATCAACCTTGAAATCGGACGAGTTCAAAACCCTAATAAAAACCCAGTAGCCGAAAAAGCTGTTGCGGAACTTGAGGAGGAAATACTCTGGAGGAGGCCCAGTCTCACAGCTTAGCCTTTCCACTGCCGTAGCAAGACTCAATTCCCATATCCGTAGTGAGGGCCTGTCAGCACGAGAAATGTACACCCAACGCAATGAGTTTACACATGAGCAACTTCCCATGGTCGACCGGGAGATTATCGCCCAAAAACAAGCTCAACGGGACTCCAACCACATCAGCAGTGCATGGACCAAGTCAAACTCAAAAGGGCCACGCCCTCTTTCCATCCCATCTGTCGGTGATCTAGTGTACTTGTATTCGGACAGAGATAAGACCAAAGCCCGTCCCAGGTATATTGTCGTCTCAGTGAATGATGAGTAGTGCTACGTGAAAAATTTTTCCGGTCAACAATTACGATCTAACTCGTACAAGATCAAAGCAAGCGAGTGTTACCGTGTTCCGACAGAGTTAACCTCTAAGCCCCAACGACAACGCATCCCTGAAGACGAAGACCTGGAAGATATCCCCATCTCCCAACTCGACACTTCTGAGAAGCTTCTCCCCTCAAAGCCTGCAGTGACCATCCCACAACACGAGGTCTCTACCTATAAACCATCTCCGATTCCAGAAGTTCTATGTACACCCCCACACACAACCGCAAATGCACATGAGGAAGAGCGGGATTCGGATACAGAGGACGAGGTCCAAGATGCCTCAAATCGCCCTCAGAGAGCAAGAAACCCTCCGTCTTACCTAAAGGACTATGTTGTCTCATTCCCTTAATTAATCAGAACAGGCTGTTTTGTAAGCATTTCTTAAAGTTCGACTTTTATTTGTACGCTTCATTTTCCCAACTAGTTTGCATCTGCCACAGAGAGTGTTTATAATTGATTTGTAAAACCGACACAAAAAAGAGACAAAAATGAGAAAAGAGGTTGCGTCAGTGTTTTTATGTACGACTTGTTTAATATGAGGAACTCTTTTGTTCTAGGAGTTTTGTGTATGTTATTCGTTTTATGTTTTGGAGCCAAAACTTGTGTTTTATAAAAACTCTCATCCTGTTAGTTTTACCTTTATTATTGGCGTTACATATATTACTTGATCAGTGCGCACTGGTCCATGCTGACAAAGCAGGTAACACCATTGTCTTTGCTTTAATGTCCTAATCACACGGAGAGTTTAAATCACAGTAAATTAATGCGAAGTAAACTAATGCAAATTTTAAAAATCAATGCCAATAAAACTAATGCGAATTAACGAGGACTAGTCTAATTCGAGTGCGCATGACTTTGCGCAGCTTTTTAATTTCATGCAGTCATTTGTGCGACAGGGCACCTTTGCCAAATATTTTGAATTTAATAAAAAAAAAATTAACACTATCTGTAATCCTTACTGGTCTGAAAATTATTTTACGACATTATAAGGAAAAAAGCTGAAATGGCTCTAACGACGTCACCATTTTCGGATTTTGTATAAGCAATGCATGACGCTGAAGAATGACGCACTACTCGCTTGTACTAGTATATGGAAGTTGGTCGGTACGTGATGAAATATTCCGAGAAGGCCTTTGGCCTTCACAGGCTTTGATCACGTGGGCCAAGTTACAACCTGAGAAAAAAAAAATCCGACTTTTTCTATCACCGTAAGCAAAAGGGTTTTCAGTTCTCATTCCAAAGACCAATTTTCACCTCAAAGTCAGTTTCAAAGTGCCACGCACTTGGCGAAGGAACAGTTGCTAACTACAGTGTATTTTTTAAATCAACTTGGGTCAGTAGCGCCTAAGATTCGCGCCCCCGACCTTCTGACTACGGAGTGAGCGCTCTACCGACTGAGCAACATTGACTGTCTTTATTAAAGGATATCCAATCCTCAGCCAGGAAGGATAACTCAAAAATTAATATTTAATTTAACACGCATCAATATGAGGCTTCAAAATGAAAACTTTTCTTGCAATAATTTTCATTTTATTCATCTTCAAATGATTTAAGGTTTATGGAAGTCTTAGAAGAAGTAATAAAAGTTGACATTTGTACCCTCTAAAAGGAAAAAAATCAATGCAGTTTCAGAAAAAATAAGATTTTCTTGAATCTAGCCTTAGATAACAATGCTTATAAGCAAGATATGAAATAAGAAGTGATTTGTGATGTCTTGCAATGATAGCAAAAGCTTTTTACACTATGTTTTATACAATACATGAAGGAAATAGCAGACAGAGAATACAAAATAAGTATAAAAATTCTGACAATATCTCTAAATGCCTGGATACCTATTGTTTTTTAACCTAAAATATATTTGTTGATCAATTTGCAATTGGAAAATGCATAGCTGATATTCCTATTCGCTTTTTCTGAATATATATTGGAAATATTTTTATGAGCATTTTCAATAACTTAACTGCTAATTTCATGAACCTGAGGATCGGAATATTGTTTTAAGATTTGTTATCATGGAATTATGGATTTTTCTGTTTTATTTATAGACCTGGGCTATTTAGATCCAATTGGTCATTTGGATTTTTATCCGAACGGCGGAAAACACCAGCCAGGATGCTATTGTAAGTTTTACACCGGTACTTATTAAAATATGTCCGACTTATTAATTTTTCTTAAGTTCATGTAGTTTAAAGTAGTGATTTTTCGTTGCAGATAATCCAATGTGTAGCCACTCTCGAGCTTACTTATTCTTCACGGAATCCATCCTCTCGGACCAGAAGTTTAAAGCCTGGGAATGCGATACTACTCAGCAATGCAGAAAAGGGAAAGGAATAGATAAGAAGAAGCCACTGGACAACCGGATGGGTTTCTATGTTAATGATTCCAAAATATATGAAAAGTATTACCTGGAAACAAACAAAAAATCACCCTACGACATACCTTGATGGTTCTTTTTATTTTTGTCTGTACATGTATATATAGATAACTTTTGACTTCCATCAAACATATTTTTGACCTGCCAATAGTTCTATAGTTTCCATTAAAATACTTTTAAATATAGTTTTTTGTAAGGAAATATGAGTCTAAAATGTTATGAGGTCTAATCGATTCTGGCATTTTAAAACAAACATTATTTTACTAAGGCAAATAAGGGCAGTACATGTAGTCCTGCATGTCCCATCCAGAAATAGTAATTTTAGAAACGGTAATTCTATAAAGTTTTGGATTTCTAGACCTAAAAGCGTCTGCAAAATAATTATTTTTTTAACGAAAATATATGCATTATATTTTTTATAGTTGCAATAGTGATGCATCTACCATGATTCACAGTACAAATGCTTAATTTCAGCAAATTTTCTCGAAAGAATGACAATGTTTTACGTGGAAGGTTCAAGTTTAGAGGAGCACGTCTCACTCTGCATGCTCGCCTTATACAAGTATGTTATAAAAGATTTTTTCAAGAAAATTTGCATTTGAACAGAAAATGCATGTGTACATGTACATGTAATATCACTTTCAAGGCTTTTCACATTAAGATCAAGTGGGACCGGAATAAATTTGAATCATAATTTGTTTGCGTGATCGTGCTCATCAGTTACGATTTTCAACATATACATTTTTTGCACACAGAGAATCGAACTTTCCCTGACTCTGTACAAAGGACCCCCCTTAAGAGGTTCTGGGTCACAACGATCACCTGAGTAATTTTTGACCTGATTTTCTTCACCAGATTTTCCCCATGTCCTACTTATTGTACCTACTCATAGGGGTCATTATTTTAACAAATCTCTAACCCAGGATGTTTCCACATGTTTCATCTTTTCAGGTCCATTGGGTCTTGAGAAGGAGATTTTTGAAGATTTTTTACTTGTTGTTATGCTGGTCCCACCAAATTCCGAAGAATCACGCGATTTGAAAAATTTAAAATCTATATTACCTGAGGAATATTCCACTAAAGTTTGAGATTTTCTGGCCCAGAGGTTCTTGAGTAAAAGAAGATTTTAAAAGATTTTCCATTATATTTCAATGTAAAATTTCATTCCTTATCCCCATTCTACCCCTAGGGGCCACAATTTGAACAATTTAGAATCTTCACTACCTCAGGATGCTTCCACATAAGTTTCAGTTTTTCTAGCCCAGTGGTTCTTGAGAAACTATTTTTTAAAGATTTTTCCATTATATTTCAATAAAAACGTTGAGTCCATACTGTGGCCCCAATCTACCCCAGGGGTTACGATTTAAACAATTTAGAATCTATTATATATCAGGATATTTAAGTAAATGTTTCAGCTGTCCCAGTGGTTCTTGAGAAGATTTTAAGTGGTCCCATCCTTTTTTTTGTCTTTCTTGCTTATCTCCCGTTTTGAAGGGACTTGGTCCGGGCCTTCATTTTGAACAACAATTTACATTCCCCTTCACCAAAAGATGCTGTGTACCAAGTTTACAGACGGACGGGCAGTTAGACAGACAACAGGTGATCAGAAAAGCTCATTTGAGGTTTCAGCTCAGGTGAGCTAAAACGGTTTAAAATATTTCTTTGCGGTAATTTTGCTAGCAAATGGTTTTCAGTCCGATCGGGGGGGGGGGGGGGGGAGCAGACCAAAAACCCTTGGCTATGCGAAGGTGATTTTTCGTTATAAAAAAATGTTACCTTTCTTTTCTTATTTGCCCACGTGGTGCAGTGGGTGGAGCGTCTGTTTGAGTCGCGGAGTTGATCCTTATGTCGGCGGTCGCAGGTTCGAATCCCACTATGGGAATGTGGAGACCCGTCTCTAGATAATTACCCAGAATGTGTAGCCTTCCACCGGCAAGTGGTGGTGTCTCCATATATGTGAAAAATTCTCGAGAGGGACATTAAACAACAATCAATCGATTCAACTTCTTCTTCTTAAAAGCAGTTAAGTCTTTTAAAAGTTATCACCTGGAAACTATTCATTGCAAATTATGAGTATTTTACCTTGGCTTTTTGACCTAAAATTCATCAAATTATATTCAATAACAAGAGGCCCATGGGCCACATCGCTCACTTGAGTAACTTGGGTAATGCAGTTCTTTACCAGATTCCCCCCTCTTGCTATATCTATCATGCCCCACTACCCCCTTCCCTTTTATGATTTTAAAACTTTAGAATATACACTACTCCAGGATGTTTCCACATAAGTTTCAGCTTTCCTGGCCCAGTGGTTCTTGAGAAGAAGATTTTTAAAGATTTGTTCTATATATTTCTATGTAAAATTTGGATTCCCTATTGTGGCCCCGCCCTACCCCCGGGGGTCATGATTTTTAACAATTTAATATCTACACTACCCAAGGATGCTTCCACATAAGTTTCAGCTTTCCTGGCCCAGTGGTTCTTGAGAAGAAGGTTTTTAAAGATTTGTTCTATATATTTCAATGTAAAACTTGGATTCCCTATTGTGGCCCCGCCCTACCCCCGGGGGTTAATTTAATATATACACTACCCAAGGATGCTTCCACATAAGTTTCAGCTTTCCTGGCCCAGTGGTTCTTGAGAAGATTTTTAAAGATTTGTTCTATATATTTCTATGTAAAACTTGGATTCCCTATTGTGGCCCCGTCCTACCCCGGGGGGTCATGATTTTAACAATTTAATATCTACACTACCCCAGGATACTTCCACATAAGTTTCAGCTTTCCTGGCCCAGTGGTTCTTGAGAAGAAGATTTTTAAAGATTTTTCCTATATATTTCTATGTAAAACTCGGATTCCCTATTGTGGCCCCGCCCTACCCCCGGGGGTCATGATTTTTACAATTTAATATCTACACTACCCAAGGATGCTTCCACATAAGTTTCAGCTTTCCTGACCCAGTGGTTCTTGAGAAGATTTTTTAGTTACCCCACCCTATTTTTGTCTTTTCTTGATTATCTCCCCTTGTAAGGGGACTTGACCCTTCATTTTAACAATGTAAACTCCACTTCACCCAAGGATGCTTTGTACCAAGTTTGGTTAAAATTGGCCCATTGGTTCTTGAGAAGAAGTCGAAAATGTGAAAAGTTTACAGACGGACGGACAGCTAGACGGACGGACGGAAGACGGACAAAATATGATCAGAAAAGCTCACTTGAGTCTTCGGCTCAGGTGAGCTTAAAAACTCAAAGGAGAAGTTATCATCCTGAAAACCAATTTTTGCAATATATTAATTTCTTACCTTGACGTTTGACTATGCACAGACTGCGTCATCGACATAAATAAAAGGAGTTTTTTAAGAATAATGACGTGTAACAAGAAGGTATTGAGCGATGTTTATAAATAATGTTATTGTTATAATTAAATGAAGCACAGAAACAAAAGTTTTAACAGCTTAGATATTTTTTGGATCATTACACGTGAAAAGTTCAACTTGGAAACTACCCCCTCTTATCATTTGATATGATATTGTAAAGCACAATAATTTGCTTTGTATGTACTAGTATTTTACATTTACACAATTTGATAAAGTACTCACAGTCTTTTACTACTTATGTATCTTTCATGCCTCTCTGGAGGCCCTTGATTAGAAATAAATATTTCATATGTGGAATTTTTTTTCCTTTTTTTTTTTTTTTTTTGGTTTTTGGTTTTTGGTTTTCACATATATCTTAAAAACAAATTATAAATAAAATATTAAAACAATGTAATATAGAATTAAATGTATCATGTAAAAGATGATATAAACCACATTATTTTGAAAACATATAGCTTTCATGAACTTTTAGAATTGAGAAATGTCTTTTCTGAAAACGGGGGATTGACATCGCCCTGTACGCCTCCATGCTCTGCTGATCATTAGAATTGCCTTAGTTAGGAATTGTAAACATTATAACTGGTAAAAAAAAAATCAGTAGAAACTTAGGGCGAATTTGTTTCTCAAAAACTGGGTTTAGTTCATCGTCTCAAGCCACGGTCCGGAGTCCGCATATAACTTTCTCCTATGGGAGAGGATCGTACATTTTGGCCGTGGTTTGCGACGATGGGTTTAGTTTTGAACCAGTTTTGTAAACTGTTCATTTTTTCCACAAACTGGTTTTAAACTAGTTTAAACCTAGAACCGGTTTTCCATTTGTTTTTGCTGTAACTGAAATCAGTTCGTTAAACCAACCAAACCACCTCCGATGGTGGTTTATTTGGTTTACGAAAGAGCGGGAAGTATTCCAGTATGACTGTGATGAAAGTTAGTGACTATTCTAAAAAAGATCAAGAGGCCCATGGGCCACATCGCTCACCTGAGCACTGTGGCAAGGAAAATGTAGAAATTGGTTTATTATTGAAAAGTTTAAATCCAAAAGTAGTCCCATGACCAATCATGGCTTTGCTATTCTTGAGAAGATATTTAAAGAATTTTCCTATATAAATCTATGCAAAACTTTGGTCGGCCATTGTGGCCCCGCCCTTCACCCCGGGGCCATGATTTGAACAAACTTGAATCTCTACTACCTGAGGATGTTTCCATATAAATATCATCAATTATGGCTTTGCTATTCTTGAGAAGAAGATTTTTAAAGAATTTTCCTATATATTTCTATGTAAAACTTTGGTCGGCCATTGTGGCCCTGCCCTACCCCCGGGGGTCATGATTTGAACAAATTTGAATCTACACTACCTGAGGATGCTTCCATATAAAAATGATAAATTATGGCTTTGTTTTTCTTGAGAAGAAGATTTTTAAAGAATTTTCCTATATATTTCTATGTAAAACTTTGGTCGGCCATTGTGGCCCCACCCTACCCCCGAGGGTCATGATTTTAACAATATTGAATCTACACTACCTGAGCATGCTTCCATATAAATATGATGAATTATGGCTTTGTTATTCTTGAGAAGAAGATTTTTAAACAATTTTCCTATATATTTCTATGTAAAACTTTGGTCGGCCATTGTGGCCCCGCCCTACCCCCGGGGGTCATGATTTGAACAAACTTGAATCTACACTACCTGAGGATGCTTCCATATAAATATGATCAATTATGGCTTTGTTATTCTTGAGAAGAAGATTTTTAAAGAATTTTCCTATATATTTCTATGTAAAACTTTGGTCGGCCATTGTGGCCCCGCCCTACCCCCGGGGGTCATGATTTAAACAAACTTGAATCTACACTACCTGAGGATGCTTCCATATAAATATGATCAATTATGGCTTTGTTATTCTTGAGAAGAAGATTTTTAAAGAATTTTCCTATATATTTCTATGTAAAACTTTGGTCGGCCATTGTGGCCCCGCCCTACCCCCG